TTAAATATATTTTAATAATATTTCAATAATATTTTAATTATATTTTAAGTATTTTTTAAATATGTATATTTCTTATAAGGTTATCAATTAAAATAAAAAGACTTAATGGATAATTATATTTGTTAATTCATACTGTATTATCATAAATAATTATATCATAAAATTTGATCTATCTTTCTCATTGTTCTGGAAACATCCAAAAAATTCCAATTAATTGATTACTTGTATCATCTATTAATGATTTTATAAACTATTCAAGATCTTGAGTTTAATATTTAAAAAGTTTTGTCAATAAAGCTGTTGTGTAATCTAAGTTTAATCCTTTATCTCTTTTAATTTTTTGAATAGTATTTTCAAGATCTTGAGTAAGAAATACTTAGTTAGGAAATTTTAGTTAAAGAAAATTTCTAATAGTTGTTGCATCACAATGGCCATGTACAACATAATATTCTATCTATTCTATAATTTCCTGAAAAAAATTTTTGTAAGCAGTAGCAAACTTTATAGTTTTGATAGAAAGTATATAATTATGTTCATTATTAAATGTCATTACAGTTATTATTGGCAAATTAACTGGTTATGTCACATTTATCTGCCACATGCATCCTTGTTTTTTACTTCCTTTATTTTTATTTTTGCCTAACACTGGTCATGAAAGTTTCTCATTATATCTTCCTCCTAAATCATATTTAAATACTTTTTTTCTATAAGTACCATTTGAAAATTTTTCAGCTTTATGTTTAATAATAGCAAAGTATTTTTGTTGTGCATATTGTTCTATAAAATGAACTGCAATGGGCATAGAAATAAACTGAGTGCCTATTTCAATAACAAGTGGACTGCTAATTGAAGAAAAATCACCATTATAATATTTAAATTCAGTTTCCAATATATTTCCAATAAAAAGTTCAACTGGCTCTTCATTTTCTTTTATCAGAAGACATATTGTTATCAAATAATAAACAAACACGTTACGCGTTAATTTATTATTTATAGTCACATGAAATATTTATAGTAGTACAAATTAATGGGGGCGAGGAATCTCACCCGGGTGAGAAATAAATTTTCCCTTATAATATTATAATTATTAATATTTTTTTTTTGATTTTGATAATCACCGATTAACATTTGTACTCGACTATATAGTTGATAGTCGAATAATCGCGATTCATAACACTACTCACCGTTTCCTAGTAACTATTTATAAATCTAATTAATTATTTTTAATATTTCCAATCCTTATAAATCTAATTAATTATTCTTTAATATTTCCAATCCTCTTATATTTATTATAATAATAAATCTAATTAATTATCTTTTAATATTTCTGATTTATTATATTTTAATTAATTATTCTCTAATATTTCCAATCCTCTTATATTTATTATATTTATTTATAAATTTAATTAATTATTCTCTAATATTTAAAATTTCCTCCTATATTTAAGCGGTAGTGACGTCACAAGTTACTAATAAATTTGCCGCAATTCACATGATTTACCGTTCTAATCATCTTTTAATATATTTATTTATAAATATTAGATTACCCACTCCTAACTAATTAAAATAGTTACCTTGAAATAAATGAAAGATAGAAACCAGTATTACGGAAAAGGTTTTAAAAAAACAAAATAATCACGGTGTTAGTGGTACGATCTGGTGTACATGATAAGGATACGCAAATTCGAATATCAAATATCAGATTGTTTAAAAAATGGTTCGTCTTTAAAATTATTCTATCTAGTTAATGTATTAAAATAAATGTAAATAAAGTTTAACACGCATACATGAATTTACTTCTAAGACCGAAAAACTCGAATTACCTTCTGCTGCTATTATGTTCTTTACCTATTATTTAGTAAGTGAAATTCATTGTTTTCAGTTTTTTTTTTAAATAATTTTATAATTTTTTAAAATTTATAGAATTTGAACTTTCTAGGTTCAAACTCGTCCTGTTATGACTGATGATGTCATAGTAGATCATTTAGAAAAACTACAACGAGTGCAGGTTTATAATTCTTGTATATTGTTTTTTTTTTTTTTTTGATAAAATTTTTAGAATATACTTATTAACATTCATGTATCATTATTTCAATAAATTTTTTTTTTAGAATTCATTTGACCATGTATTTTATGTGGAATTATGGTTAACAGCTTTAACTGGATTGGCAGAGGTCAATTTGACAGGACATACTCTTTTATGGAAGAGTTTCGTATTGGTTAAAGTAATTAAATAATTTATTTATTTTTTTTAAAAAAATATTTATTTGAGGTTAAATAAATTTAAATTCTATTTGAATTAAATTATTTTAGCTTCCGACATTAATTGAAAAATTAGAAGAAAGAAAATTTGCAAAATTCAGTCATGATGAAATGGAAATGTTGTCATATGAATCATTAAAGGTATTTTGTTATAATAATATAATTAGTTATTTAATATTCACATTCTTAGATATTTTTCATGCTCTAGAATAGTTGTCATGAATGCGTAATAAATCAATTATTTGGGTTTCGTGGACTATTCAGTGCCTGTAGCCAACATGTAGAAACAATAGATGATCTTTTCCAGTAATGATTTTTTTTTTTAATTATAATTTATTTATTAAAGGAATAATATATATATATTTTAATAATTATTTATTATTCTTTTATTAAGAGCACCAGATATTTTTGTTGACATATTAAAAGTATGCCTGAAAAAAAATTTGGTTAGACGTGAATTTGTTTTAAGATTGTTAGAAGATCGATCTACGGAACTTGAGTGGGGTGGTTTGGATTCTATGGTTTATAAATAATTAACTTTAACTATTTGTTTGTAATTTTTATTTTATATTTCTAATACTAAATTATAAATGATTTATTATAGGACGCGGATACATTTGCAGGAAATATTTTAGATGATCCAAGCAGTCAGATGGTAGATCATTTAGTTTCTACGGCAACCACAAGTTTTTTACATCAAGAATCAAGGGTAGCAACAATATTAAGGGTATAACACCGATTTTTAAATTTAAAGAGCTTTTATTTAATTTAATTAATTCACTTTATTTATTTAATTCACTTTTTTTTTATTTAGCTAGTGACAACATGGAGTGCAAGTGGTGAATTAAAACCATTAGCAATTCTATGTCATTCTATTAACGAAATTCCTTCGCTTCTTGATATAATTCATTTATATCGACATCCATTTGAATTGTTGGAACCATTGGAACAATTATGTAATAAATGGGAAAAGTCAATAGATAATACTAGTTTTGGTAAGTGAGAAATAATTTTCATTCTTTAAATTATTATTTTTATTATATATATATATATAATTTATTTCACTATTTTCATTTTAGAATCATATGTTCAAGATTATGAAAATTATGGTATAATATTTTTATTATTGTATAATATTGTACACAGTTATGAGGTAATAAGCAACTTATTTATGCATTATGGGTTTTCTTTTTTCTTTTTGATTTTATTATGAATAAAAATTTATTATTAATTATTATTATTATTTTTTTTTTGGTAGCTTCATAAAAATCTAAAAGATGTATTACAGGATGAAAATGGATTTTGTCACACGTGGATCACTCAATCATCAGTTGCTTATGAACCTGAAATGTTGAATACTGAAAATTTTACACTATTAGAGGAATGGGTCAATGCATTATCAACAATTCAAGATATTCCAGAAAATCTTATAAAGTATTTGCAATATATAAATATATATTATTCAGTTTAAAATCACAAAAATTCCATAATCTAATATTTATATAATTAATTAGGGCTACCAATCCTCGAATATTAATTGAATTAGCTCCAACAATATTTAAGAAATCACTCGCAGAAGTTGAAAAGAGTTCTAAAGATTTTCGAAATATTGAAAACGTCGAAAACATTGAAAATGTTGAAAATTTTGGTGTTGTTACTTTAGAAACTTTATTACAGAATTTTGAAATTTTCCTGAAACCTTATTTATCATATGCATTAATTGGAGTTATTCAGTGGTTATGTGATGATATTTGCTTTAAAGGGTATTTTTTTTTATTTACGTTTACATTATTTAAATTATTTAATTATTTTGTAATTATTTTGATCTATTAATTTAATATTTGCAGACCAAATTCTTTATCATCAAAAGTTCTTAACTATTTGATGTTAAATAATGATTTCCCTTTACCAATTATGAGATTGGTTGGTACAGGGGTATTATCAATCTTGAACTATACATCAAATAATAACTTGTCATCTCAAGAGCCAATAGAAGCAGTAGAATCAGTAGAGGCAGTAGAAGGGAGTGATTCCAATCTTAAAGTTAAAATTACTAATGTTATACCTGAATCAGGTAAACTTCATCTTTTTTTATTGAACATAATGCATTATATTAATACATTATATTAATATATTATATATATTAATACATTATATTAATACATTATATTAATATATTATATATATTAATACATTATATTAATACATTATATTAATACATTATTAATTCATTTTATTGCCAGTATCAAAACATTCTTCTGAGACATTATATTCTCAATTTAAATTACTGTTTACGTCTATCACCTTTGGTGGATGTCAAAGAAAGTCTAGATTTATTAATATTGATGAAGAATATGAGGATGAATTTCGTCAATATAATTTGGCCTCCGACTTATCATGGCAAAGTGCACATCATTTAGATATTGACTTATTTAGAACATGTCTTGAAATCCATGGTCCAAAAATTTTTATAGATTTAATAGTTGAGGTTTATATCTCTTTCATTTTTTTTTAAAAAAATACTTATAATCCTTATAATGTATATAATGAGTTTAATATATATTTAATGTATATGATGTATTATTCTGTGTCATCTTCATTTTAATATTAATTTTAGGGAGTGTTGATTGCAGGTGAAAAAGGCATGGGATTAAGAGCAGGTAAGTTTTTTTTTTAATTTTTTTAACTATTAATTTTTAGATATAATAATTTATAACAATGATTGAATATTTAAAAAATAATACGATTCTAATCCTTATTTTATCTTTCTTAAAAGCCGAACTTGGTGCTTCTCTTATAACGCTTCCCTTATGTTATACATGGAATGTACATTTACAACCAATAAACCTTATTCATATCTTATTCACGGATGTATTAATACAGGCTCTTGATAAAATTATTATGTATTCACAAGGTTATGCATTGGGATTTATGTCATTTTTTATATTAATTATTTGCAACAAAAATCCCAATTTTGTTTTAACTGGAGGAAAAAATATATGTAATGATTTTATTGAATATATTCTTCCAAAGTTTCAAGTTAAAGAAGTGAATCAAGTTGAAATATCAAAAGTCTGGGGACCATTAATGAATGGACCAACAAAAGGATTTATGGATGCTTTAATATCAAATAATAGTGAAATAAGTGAAAAATTACCAAATTTGGCTTTAAAAAATTTGTTGATAGAATTAGATCTTAATTAATGAATTTTTTTTTAAGTTATATACTTTTATTATGAAAACGGAATTTGTCTTAAACCTGCAAATTGACTGAATAAAAGTAAAATTTATTATAAAAAAACTCATATTTGCTATATTAAATGTTATGTGTTATATTCAATTGATTAATTTATCATCCGTGCGATATGTGATTTCAATTTTAATTGTGCGTATATCTAAAACATTCGTTTTTTTTTTTTAAACTTTACTTTTTCTTTTTTTTCTTTCTTTGCTCTGTCTTTCCGCTTTTTCTAGTTTGAAAAAAATATTTTCATGGTTTATGTGAGCATCAGCATCACATAATGCTATCATTTAGATTTCATTATAAATTGTATCAAGATCACCAGTTGTATTGTTATTAGATTATTATTTATTAGATTATTATTTTTAAATTTTAATAATTAAAACATGTGACTTCAACCCCAATCCAATCAAAATTTTAACCGAAGCTTCAGGTTAGACTTTTTATTTCTACTGTATATTCGAAGATAACGTTTTCATTACATATGGCTGATTTGGATCATCTAAAAATGACCATTTAAGGTTAAACACATACCAAATTAGAAAATTGTCTTACCTAATGGTAAATTGTGTGTTGAACAAGAATAAACAGGCATGAAAAATATTACTAAATCTTTTTTTTTTTTAATACTTTTGGTAATTATTATAATTCATGTATCATGTATGTATTTTTTTTGGGCGTACATAAAGTTTATTTTGAAATAAAAATGGTTAGAACGTAATTTCGCGTTCTTCGTTTATTAAATTAATAGAGAAGGAATGTTCTAGTTAAAAAGTTAAAATATACATATACATTGTACAATTAAAAAAAACTTTTCAATATTATTTATTATTTCTCCATATTTTGGAAATCCGGAAAATAGTTCGCTTCGAGATACACAATCTAAAGCACGATAATTTATCTTTAAAAACTTATTTCTTTATTTATTTCTTTAATTTAATTAATTTTTTCACATAAAAAAAAACCTTATAAAAAGATGTTTTTCAACAAAAAACCTTATAAAAAAAAAGATGTTTTTCCACAAAAAAACCTTATAAAAGATGTTTTACCACAAAAAACTTATAAAAGATGTTTTTCACAAAAAAAAAAATATTCGAAAATTCAAAATCTAGGTTGATCGACAAGAACAAAAATATGTCGTAATTATGTTGTGATTTTTTGTGATTGAAAATTTAAAAAGAAAAAAATATACTAAGGGTTGTGATAACGCAGTAATATACGTTATTTTTATTTACATAAGAAATATTTCATAAGATTTGCATATTTAAATATATCAATGTAAAAGTTATTATATGAATTCAAAATTCGATCAAAATTATGCGAGAATTGCTTCTCATATATAAATATAATCAAAAATAATGAATGCGAACGACAGAAAATTAAATAAGATACGCAAAGGAAAGTCAATAAACCTTTTTTAAGCTTATAAAATATCGATAACTTAAATAATTTAAGTTTTAATAAATGATTAACGGATTTTATCGTCGAGAACTATTCAAAAGAAAAGTTTGGCTAGTGCTTGCTTCAGTATCACTATTCCCACTTGATACATTATTTGGACTTTCTGATGAGGTGCCGCTTCCACAAGCACTTGTTTTCCCTTTTCTTGAGGAATTATCATCAGCGAATGTTTGTTCATCTTCAGCACGTAATGGTGCAGTACTGTTTGTATTACTATTATTATTGTTGGTATTAAAAAAAGGTAAAGAAGGGTTCAAATGACGATAGGGAGGAATATAGTTGGAGCCAGTTGATGAGTGCCGGGAAACATGATGATTGTAATTGCTACTACCACTGCTCATCTCTCTACTACCACTGTCAGCATGATATCCACCGGAAGATTGATTGCTCGAGGACTCGTGCGAATTTGGCATTTTTTGTCTTTTACGAGCCTTGGAATCGTGTGCTAGTAAAAATTTCGTTAAGAATTGAAAATAATTTATTATGATTATTACAATTCGAAAGAATTTAATTGAAAAAAAAATATAACATTAATCAAGAATTAATACTCTAACGCACCACTTGATTCGTATTTCTCCTTAAATTCCTTAAGATATACTTGATATTTCTGAAAGAAAGAATATTTTTTAATCTTAGTAAAGATCAAAGGCCATTACCCAAAACCTAGGATCAATTCTAAAATAAAAAAATATAACTAACATTCCAGTTTTCGGTAATTTTATATCTAGACAATGAAACCAGATATTTTTCTTTTTCCGCAGAAGCTTGAGCTTCTAACTCTTCTTTTTCGTGCGTTGGTATTGTTTTCCAACGGTCACCAACCACCTTTGCCATTTCTTGAAAAGGGAGATTCTTTCCTTTTATTTTATATTCCGAGCGAACTTTTTGTGAAAACAGAACATAAGCAGAATGCGGCTTGGCTGGCGCATTTTGGTCACGTTTGGGATGACGTTTGTACTTTCTTTTTTGGTAAGATGAATCTTTTTGACTATCGCTGCGAGAAATCACATTTTGTTGTTGTTCCGTTGTTGATGAGGCGATGGCACTGTAAGATGAAGAAGGTGAAGAAGATGAAGAAGGTGATGCATAATGGGTGGTTGAGACATCTTGTGAAACAGAAGGCATGGCACTATTTGTATATATTGGACTGTTCAGTGTTGCTGTTAATTAGAAAGAATAAAATTTTAATAGAAGACTAAATAGAGTTTCAAACATGATTATAAATGCTGTGAAACGTTCGATACCATGTCCATGTTGAATGTAAAAAGGTACATTGGGAGGAATTCCTTTAAGGGTCGCAATTTCCCGTTGTAAACGCTAAAAAATGTCACAGAATAATTTAATTTGGAATAATAAATAAAGATAGACATCGTATAGAAAAACAATTACCCTTCGATGACCTCGTTTGGCACCCATGGCGATCAAGTCGGATTCCGTAACGTCAAGCAGCTATATAAAATAGAAAGCCCGCGTTAAATGTTAATTGTTAGGGATAGTTTTTAAATATTTTTTTTTTTTCAAAAAGTAAATTAAAAAAAATAATCTACCGATTGTAATTGATCAAATCCTTCTTCAATGAATTTATCATAATACTCCAAGAGATTACATTTGCTCAAGAAATCACGAATTTGTGGGAAAGCCATTCCTTTTATGACTTGAAAATAAAGTTTTGATTTTAGTAATTAATATATTTGTTTCTTGCAATTTTTTAGTTATTTTAAATATCGTAAATATCTTAAATATATTTTTAGTATTACGAACCAAGCAAATAAATAATGTGATTATTTATTTTACCAAATTATTATGAGTAAATTTTATCCGTATTAATATAGAAATGAAGATATGATATTGTCGAAATTGTCGATACGATATTGCGAATTGAGGAAAAAATTATCGATAATTTGAAAGGGGCAATTTTTATTTACGATATTTTAATTTAAAAATTCGATGAGAAAAAATGCAAATTTTTTTTTCAAAATGCAAAATTTTTTTTTTTTCAAAATGCTGAAAAATCAAAATTCAGATTTTTATCGACATAAACATAAATTTCGAGAAGTTTCCAATGAATATTACTGGATGTTAAATTTAATACATTTATGTTGTGTCACATAATAAGAGAACGTTATTAATAAGTGACCTCATTATTTGGTGTTTTTTATTAGAAACAATTCTTTGTCCAATAATGCACAACATATCACATAATTTGTTTATTACGTAATAAAGAAATCAATTTATTCTAGACATAAAAAAAAACCACATCTGCGCCTCGTTAGACAAACATTTTTTTATAAATACGATACCAACCCAGAGAGAAGTAAAACGAAGCGGTGGATCGAGATCATGAGCACAGCACGGTACGGTGCGGCAAGGCAAAGACAAGAACGTTGATTTCTTGATATAATAAATATAAAACGCTTCCAAATCCGTGAAACCACAAATTGCCTCTTGGTATCTACTTTTTCGCTTTAAAATGTATACTGATCTAATCTAAAAAAGCACAGTATAAAAAAAAATTAATAAAAGATAAAAGCAAGCTGCGTCGTACGAATTTAAAAGATTTATTTTATAGTGATAAACTTATCATGAACTTTATTATAGTCAAGAACAACGGATTCATAATTATTTTTATTAATCAGTATCAATATGCATTTAAGACAATTTTATAATTTAAAGCATCAATCTTTGATATTTTTTTTTTCGTTAAGCAATATAGTCTTCTATGAAAAACTTTATAATACTTTGAGCGGTTTCCTTGTCCAATGAACAATTCAATAATTGAGGTTCAGTAGAAGTTGCCATGTTATGTAAGGATGAAAAATTTTCTTGTAGTATATAACAATCTATACGTTTTATTAAAAGAAAATATATTAAAGCAAATTACATTAATTAAATCAAAGAATTCCAAGCTCGATATAAAAGATATATAGGTTATAAAGAGAAAAATAACCATGTAATCGAAGTTTCTTGATTCCAACCGACATTTGAGCAACCAAATTAATCCATTTATTAGTTGTTGTTAGATTTGTTGGATCATTAATTTTTTTTCTCAGTTCCTAAATGTATAAATATAAGTAAATATAAAGTATAATATAAACATTTACAATAAAGAATTTTCGAATTCGTACTTTTTCTAAACTTTGAACAACTGGTGGTTTATTTTCAGGAAGCAACCCGTCGTAAAATACACGCAACAAAGTTGTTGTTTCTTTTAAATTATGAACTGGAAGAATTTCGATGGAGACACAAATTTCTAAGAGTCTTTAGGCCGAAAATATATGATTAAAATTTATTTTGAAGTGAAAAATAATTATTAAAGAAACTCTATTCAAAACAATTGATATTTGGGATTACCAACTTTGTTTGTAAGGTATATAATATTTGCATATTTTCATTTTCGATATAAAGTAATAAAATAGATTTTTTATGTCGCTGAATTGATCTTTTGATTCTAAAATATGATTAATTAAATTTAATTCTGGTGTAAATATTCTATATTTATATTTGTGAAGTTGCAGAAGAGGTTTTTTTTTTACCTATTGGCTAAATTTATAACATAATTGTTATTATTATTTTCAGAGTTACAAAAGCTCCCTTGTTCATTGTTGAAGCATAGGAATGTGATATTTGACTTTGGAAAAGTAATATCCTAAAAAAAATAAATTTTGTTGTCTATACCAATTTTTTATCATTAAACATTCATGCATTTTTTTAATATTTTACCCCAGGAGTTCCTTGAGTAGCTTCCACAACTTCAAAAAAAAACCAATTATTAAATAATTTGTAAAAATATTTGATTGTAATAAGTAATAAAAAAACAATTTAAGAATTTCATACATCTAACACACCACCCAAGATTTTTCATTTCATCATAAACTTCACGCCAATATCCTGTTAAACTTTTATTATAGAGTGCGACAGGTGGCGAACTATTTTGCATTTTATATATACGAATTTTTTTTTTTTTGGGAGGAATATAAGAGAAAGAGAAAGAATAATGAAAAGAATAATGAAAAAATAACGAAGAAAAATAAAAACCTAGTAATAAATAGCTTGCAATATCAACAAGTTTTATAAAAAGTATAAAAAGTTTAACGCTAAGTTTTTAATATCCTGAGGAATCTTTATGATTAAGTTTTGATCAGGTTTTAAAAAGTTTTTGTTCAAGTAAACCCTTCACTTTCTTAACTACCATAATAAAATTTAATTGCTAAAATAACGCGTATTAAATACTAAAAAAATCGTACTCGAGTCATATGTTCAAGTCATAAAGAAAAGGATTGATGCCGAAAGGATTTGGGTCTCAAAAATATTTTTTCCGGGTATAAAAAGTTTAAAGAGTTTGAATAATTTATCGATAATCGTTCGTAGTAATAATCCATAAAGAATCCATCAATCCATGAATTTCTAAGCAGACATCAAGATTATTAAAGATAAATATATAAGGTAAAGATTTCTCGAACAAAATCTCGGTCAAAAAATTTTAAACGAAAATAAAAAAAAATGGTATTGTGATGTCAAAACCCTCATCAAAAGTGAATTAAATTTATTTATTTATAATCTTTTTTAGTGTTATAAAGTAGGTACATGTCTCTATATATATCTAAAGTTACCATTATATTTATATTTTATGCAATTTATCTTAAAAAAAATCTTATATATATATCTTGATAAAAAAAAAAAAAAACCATAAATGTATAAATTACGATTTATACGAATTAAATTTGAATATTCAAATGAAATAATAACGACGTGTCGGATAATTTAAACAAAACAGACGATGAAAATCAGAAAAATAGAAGGGAGGGGGGGGGGGGGGGGATAAGAGAAAACGATGTCATATCCATATCGTGAGGATGCAATATATTTTTATTCCATTAAATAAAATAAAAATAAATAAAACCGATTTAAATGATTTAAATTAAATATGATATTAAAAAAAAAAAAATGCATAAATTATTTAAAAAAAAAAAATGCCTGAATGAGAATGTGAATGTGAATATTGTTCGCATATTTTGTTGATTACTTTTAAGTACCATTCTGTTGTTGGTCTGGACGTTCTATACTTAAAAGACGTTCATCTTTTTCAACAACTAAACTTTTTAACCATTTAATTTCTCTTTCAAGCTCACGCACTTTATTCTCGAGTGCCATAGCTTTTTCTGTCATTTCTCGTGATTGTTTTTCAAGTTCTTGTTCTCGTAACTTTTTTTTTACACGAAATCTCGCAGATGCAGCTGTATTACGGCGTCTTTTGTCTTCTTCAGCTAACACCTGACAAATATAATTTGGATCTATCTGGTAATAAGGGTGTCCAGCAATAAAAGTTGGTGGAGTTAATAAGCCATTTTTTTGTAAAGATGCAATATCCATATTATATGAATTCATATGTGAATTTGGTTGAATTGAAGAATCATCATTTCCCATAATATCCGCCGTATGTGAAGAATACATTGCCGAGAAATTGGTAACATTTGGTATATTAGGACTTGTGGGTGATGGAGGTAAGCTTATTCCTGGATTTGATACATTCGATACATTTATATTAGATATGGAAGGTGATTGCATTAAGAATGGTGTGAGGTTATTAGCCTCTTCTGTTCTTATTTGAGTTTTGGATACTTCATTTTGATATAATTGTTGGCCATTTACTGAATAAATTTCTTCCGGAATTTTTGGAATTGGATGAAATGGACTTGGACTTAAACTTTCATTTTCTAAAACTCCAAAGTCAAGCCTAGTGTCAAGGGTAAAATTTGCATTTAAATTGGTTGCTTGAGTTGTTTCACTTAGTACGGGGTCGTTATGAAGAGGAAAAAACGAATGAAAAGTACGGTCAGGAAAGGAATTGTTGGGGTTGTTATAATTTGACATTATTTTTATTTCGTCAATTTATCGGTTAAGAGAAGAGGAAAAGACCACTCGACAATTCTTCAATTCAACTTTCAATGGTAGAAGATCATTTATTTCTAATTTTTTAAACGTTGAGAAAATATATATGATTGGCTAAACGTTTATTATTATATTATCATTAATTATAATAAATAATAATTATTATTTATACATACCTGGAGATATACTCTGGAAACATTCTACACTATAAATAGACGTATTTCTTCGTCTATATATAAATTAGTTATCAAAAATTTTTTTTATCAGATTTATTAGACAGATAAGATTGAGTATTACTCTATTCCAAAGACAATGAGACAATAATAGATGTCGAATTTGTCGATTTGACTAGAAAATGGCTAAAGACCTCGCTCACTTTGTTGACATGAAACTTTGAGTTGCACGATCTTCAGCCAATCAGTTTTAATTAAAATTTCACCACCGTGGTAAAAAATTGCATATAATAAATATAATGAACTTAAACCCAATGCTAGGATTTACTAAATATGTAATGATTTTTAGTAGCGAGAAGCTGTTCGTGGTAAAAGGAATAAAAAATCATATAATTATATATAACACTAGTTTTACAAAATTTTATTATCTGATGGATTATCGGTTTCATGCTACTAATTGGATTTTTTCTTTACTACTATGTTTTAGCAGGCTGGGTAATTAAAAAAAAAGAAAACTGGATAATTAAAAAAGAAAAACCCGATATTGTCATATTTATAAGGGAGGAGAAATATAAAGTCACATTTTGATCGTAGACATCGTTTTCATTGTATCTTCAAAAATTCCTCACTTAAGGGATAAAAATACTTTTAGAAAGATTTAAAGTCGATCCAATAAATGTGAAACCTCATGTATCAACTTTTAAACCTTTGAACGTTATTTTAGATAAGAATTTAATACATGGCGTCATTTACTAAGACTTCTCGCGTCATTTTAATATATGGCGTCATTTGCCAAGACTTCTCGAGTCATTTAATTAAAAGAATTAGTCCACTTCTGTTATAATAAAGAAATATTAGTGCTTTTTCACAGAAATGTCGTTATCCACGGCCAATCATAATAATCAAAAATCAATAAAATAATAAATTATAATGAAATTTTGTTGGTTCATAAATTGTAAATTTATTTTTCAAAATAATAAACATCTTGGGAGTGAGGCTCCCGTTGGTTAAAAAAAAAAAAAAAATAATGAAATTTTTGATACGTTATTACGAATTTGATATAAAAAAAATTATTCATATGAAAAAAAAAATTATAAAAATGTTAAAAATGCCAGATTTCCAATTTGTTCTTTTTTGCATAATAGTGAAATGCAATAGAAAAATCATCATCATTTGAAATAGTGATAAATTCCCCCGTATCATCTTTATATTTGAATTCTTTAATAAAAGGAGATTGAAGAGCTTCTTTAATTGCCTCTTTAATCGTTCTGAATTTAGTAAATGCTCTAAAACGAAAGATTCGTGTGTCATCAATAACATTATACTTGATTATCCATTCATTTTCCTATTTAATGGAATGAAAAAAAAAAGATTATTTCCAAAAAATTATTATCATTAAATTGTCAATTACTACTGACTTTATTGTTATGGTTAAAAGATTGAATTTGTTTTCCTTCAGCTTGAGAAGATCGAGAAGAAGAAGATTCTTGCACTTGAGATCCCCAACCAACCGCCCCCCAACTTAAAAAAATTGAATCATGTTGATTATCGGCATTTAACATTTTGACAAGATAGTCGATATGTAATCCAATAATATCGAGTTCAGTTTCATTAACTCCCTTGTGAGTGATCATGGTGATGTATTGTGCCTTTTCTATAATTTTTATAAATAAAGAACACGTTTATAAATCAACAATTTTTAATTTCAAATTTTTTATTTTTATTTTTTATATAAACTTACTGATATTTTCTTCAATCAATGCTTTTTTAATCTCCGAATAATAAAAATCAAATTGACAAGAAATCTATCAAAAATAATTTTATTCGATGTAACATTTTATTAATTTTATAAACAAGAAATTTTTTTTTTTTTTTTTTTTTGTATAATCATACCAAATTCCTAGCTATAGAATCAGGTTTCAACTCTAGTTTGAAAACTCTCTTGTCTTTTTTCTCAATTGATTTCACAGATTTTAAGGGAATCCAAATTTGGGCATTTCGCAAAAGACAAAGTTGAATTGCATCCGAACTATACTTATATCTAAATTTTGGAGGACCAAATCTACGATCACTAATTTCTATTCCGTTATTACGCTTATTCTTATCTTTCTGTCTTCTTCTTGTAACTTGGGTCAAGTAATCTTCTTTAATGGTGATGTCATTTAAGCCATCGAAATTATTATCGTCGTCGAAATTAATGTCATCGGTATTTTTAATAATATTATTATGATTATTGAATTCAGTTACTTTATCAATATTGAATTCATTATAATCACCAAATTCTATTTTTACAAGATGAATTTGAGCACATGGATTATTAGTTTGACAGCCTCTGATATAACTTGCGCGATAAAGAATATCTTTTGACCTTTTTTTATTTTGAATCGATTTATCTTTTTTCTGTTGAAGTTTTGAATGTTGGGAATTGGACTTTCTTTGTTGATACGTCATCCGTGGATGATATTCATTTTGATTCCCTGAAGAAGATTGAATAAATTCTTGTTTTGGAAATTGGATTTGTCGATACAATTGTTGTTGGGATTGTTGGGATTGTTGAGATCGTTGGGATTGTTGGGATTGTTGGAATTGTTGGAATTGTTGAGATTGATTTTGAGGAAATGATATTTGATAAAGAGGTTCTTTGGTGAGATATCTATTTTGATTATTATTTTTATTATTATTTTGATTAATGAAATTCTGATGCATCTTTTGTTGAGTGGATTGATTATTGAATTTATTATTATTGTCATTATTATTGGAATTTTGGTGATTTTGAGTATTAGAATTTTTTTGATTATGATTTCTTTGGGGAAAAGTATTAGATCTTTGACGACGAAGAATGTAATTATTTTTTTGCTGCAAATTATTATTATTATTATTATTATTATTATTATTCATTTCATGAATTTTTTGACTAATTTTTAGAGACGATTGGGATGGAAGAAAATTATTTTGATATTTGTTGTTGACATTTCTAATTAATGGAGTTTGGGGAGGACTAGGAAGATAATAGCAATTAATTTCGGAATCGACATCATTAAATTCAAGTAAATCCGTTGTCTATAATTTAGGATAAAAGAAAAGTTCATTTCAATCATCGCAACTTGGTTATCCTAATTAGTACATATAGAACTGATCTCAAAATACAAACCTCCATAATTTATTCAATTTATTTATTTATTCACGTTTATTTTTTATAACATTTATTTTTTATTTTTTTATATTTTTATTTTTTATTTATTTAGAAAAGACCAGAAAACTTGAAATAACTCGTTCTTTGCATGAAACATAAATGATATTTTCGTACTCATATATAAACTTTTAATTGTATCATGTCACGCAAACGTAATTGATAATTATCTTTAAAGAAATCGCTAAATTATCATATTATCGCGTCATATCGCGTCATATATTTTGCACTATCAGTTTTAAACAAAGAATCGGGAAAGCCAAAATAATTATGCCGTACACATCTGATTTTGATACATAGTATTTATGACATTAATACTTGAAACTTGGAAGCACACCATGTCAAAAGAGTAATTCATTGGTAGAATAAATAATAACAATAACAATTCTTTTGTATAATTAAAGCTTGTAAAATTTTTGTTCCAATTCCTTGATATTATATGAGGATATATAAAAAAATCCATCATTTATCCTATACCAAAAAATTGACATGCAAGAACAGAACTTGTTAAAAAAAAAAATGCAAGCAGGCAGGAAAGCTTTAGAATCAATTTTTCCATGTCAAAAGAATTGGTGAATTTGGCATGTGGGGATTTTGGTTTGAGTCAAAGAATACAAAATTGTTTGACGTAATCGATTACTAACCTTTTAGATGATCTGGACGTACACTCTAGTAACTTTATTCTTTTTGTTTGAACTCTTTTATGTAGCATCTTAAGTAGTAAATGGATCAATAGATTTATATCAAGTTTTGTAAGGAATATATAAAAATAGATAAAATAAACAAAATAGGGCAATTGATTTTTTGATTTTTTGGATTTCTGATTTCTTTTATTTGATTTGTGAAATGATGTTAAAAATAAAAATGATGAATTAAAACCAAAAATGGTATTGGTAATAAAAATAATGACATTAAATGAATCTGTTCAATTTTTTATCAAAACAAGGGCTTCTTCTAGTTTATTTATTAAATAAATTATATTATAATATCATATAGGGTAATTTTTCATAATTTTTGGATTTTTTTTATCAATTCAAAACTATAAAATTATTTTGTGTAAATATTATTTGATCTGCAATATGATATTAAAAATAAATATAAATATGAATATTTTTAACTTAAACAATCTATTTTATAGTTTAGCACTAAAATCAATTCCATACAAATGTTTATTTAAATATGAATTTAAAAATATTCCGGATGGATCCAATTGTTTATGAATGTTTAAAAAAGCATTAAATTTGGGATATGATTTTGAAAGTTCAGATGTAGACATTGTATGTTTCTTTTTGAAAGCAAAAAAAAAAAAAAAATCTTTTAGTTATAAATTGCATAGTTCTAAAAAATATAAAATTATTTATGATAAAAATTTACTTTTGCCCAATGAGGTCTACCATCACAATTCTTCATAATATCTTCAAAGATGGCCCAGTACTTTTTATAAGGCACAGATTTACTATATGGTCTATATGAAAAAAGAATAGTAAATGAATGTAATTAATAGCCTTCTCAAAAAAATAAATAAGAAATTTTATACCTATACATAAGAATTCCAATATAACAGCAGTCTCTTTCATAATTAGGACTTAACCAAATATCATCCTGACCCACAAATCGAATTTCTATTGGAAAATGGACATTTAATCCAATTTCTTCTATCTTTGTAATCAATTTCTCAATTGCCTCTGCAGTTCTTTCCAATGGTATTGCCCATTCATTAGTATATTGTGGAAACAAGCAATCAAAATTAAATAATTTATAAGAAGTATCAATCGCATGAATTGGTTTTGAGAAATTCAATTTAAACATTGCTCGAGTGATCATTGGAATTGAGGGTGGACAAAAACGGGCAATATACAGAAGAAATTGGAAGAAATGAAAAGATAGAAGTTTGTCACGAACAAAATTGGAAGGAAGTGGTTTGGGGTCCTTATTATTTTAATTATTATTATTATTATTATTATGTGTAAAGGTGATTGAAATAATTAAATAATTAATGCAATGAATATTTTTTAATACTTTTTTATTACGTTGATTATTTTTATATTTTATATTTTTCTTGCCTTATTAGTTCGATTTGCTCTCCAAACTATGCAATCATCAGTATGAGGAAAACACCAAATTCTAACATGTTCAGCAGAATATATTATCTCATTTAAAATATTCAAAATATTTCCTAATTTCTCTGGATTTTGTATTGATTCTAATCGAAAAGCATTTTCACACTGGATTGTGACATTTATAATAATTCCCAATACACCTAATCCACACGATGCTGCTTTAAAGATATCAGGATTTAAATTATCAGAACAATATAAAACACCCTTTGATGCTGTTACTATTGTTAATGATACAATCTGTTATATATAATAAAGATTATAAAGATTATAAAGATTATAAAGATTATAAAGAAATTGGTAAAAAAAAAAAATTCAGTTTCGATGAAAAATTTAATAAAATGATTATTTAAATTTACCTGCGAGCAAAGATTACCAAAATTAATCCCAGTTCCATGTGTCGCTGTAGAAATTGCACCAGAAATAGTTTGATCTGAAATTGAACCTAAATTACTCAATGCCAAACCATATTTATTTAATTCTTCATTTAATTGATGTATTTTAATTCCTGCTTCAACTGTAACAGTCTTTGTATCTTGATCAACTGTTAAGACTCGATTAAATTTATCCATGTTTACCATAAATCCATCAGTGCATGGTAAATCTGACGGTGAATGCCCAGAACCAATTGCTTTTAACTTTTTGTTATGCGTTTTCGCTAATTCTATAATCTTATATAAAAAAAAAGGTTATTAATAAAGAAATTTATAAATTTATTTATTAAATTATATATTATTAAATTTGTATATACCATGATAACATCCTCTTCACACTCTGGTTCAAAATATAATTCTGGAACACAAGTAAAGGTTTTTGCCCAATTAAAAAATTTCACATTTGATCTGGAAATTTTTTTCAATCTTTCATCCAAGTGAATCATTTTAAAGATTTAATTAAAAGGATTATACAAGTATTTTTTTTTATATTTGTGCTCTATCCCTCACAGCATTTCCTCCCAAAATTGTGTCAATAAATCTAAAACGATATATGCTATTTCAAATTGATCACATGTTAACACAAGCACAAATTCTTTGTATTACTTACTACAGCCTCTGATCAGCTACCTTAAAAATATTTTATAATTTTCCAACAATTTTTAAAGCCATCCATGTCAGTATTTCTTTGAATAATAACCTAGTTTTCAACCTCACTTTTTATATCATGACTATAAAAGGTTATAAAAATGCTTGTTGAATATTAATAGCATGGTTGTCATTGTGACAATAATTACATTGTTATTAAAGAATTATCTGTCATTATTACGGTTAACAACATAATTATCATTTTTAGCAAAAAGTTGATTCTTAATATAAAAATAAAATATATAAAATTCAATTGTTTGCGCATATTTTTAAATGTTTTGTTTCAGCTTGTTGGAATAGTAAACGTGGGACAAAAAATAAACAAAACTAGTAATGGTAATCCATTTTATACGGAGAATTAGAAAATGTCAGAAATATCCTTTCTGGGGACAGATATCACGTGGAAAGAGCATGAATTAATTTTGATATGTTAATATTCATATCGATACATTAATACAAAATTTGATTTTATTTTTCATCTTCTTTTGGTTAATAATGAGTTTCATTACATAAAGGAAACATCAAATGATTATAATCCTTCAGTTCCTTGATCGTAATGATAATTAATCATAAATTTCAGCCACCCTATATTTGAAATTTAATAAATTTTTTGTCACAATCACTTTAGACAAAAGAACGTAACAACAAAATTTTTTTTGATAAATCACATTAATATATTAATAGAAATTTATTAGTACAATAAAAATTTTAATGATAAATAATAGGTAAATGAATAATTCCTTTTATCCAACAGCTTCCAAAATAATACCCATAAAGACGGATCAAAGACACTGTGTAAACAAAAATGATTTTTTTTGAATTATTTCTTGAATACGATAAATCATTTTTTATGATCATATGACGTTTTCTTTGTTTTATATTTCATTGTTCAATGTCCATATAGATATATGTCTTGGCTCTTTAAATAACTTCACGTAATTATAGAAAACGTAATTATAGACGTAATTCCAGAAAACGGTAATTATAGACGTATCATAGACACGTAATCATAGGCGTAATTATAAATATAATAAAGCATAAATTCTATAAAGTTAATTATAATTATAAAGGAGTTATAAATAAAATATAAAGTTAATCATAAAAGTAATCATAAAGCTCATTATCTTTCTATCTTTCATCATGCACATCTTATAAATAAAAATAAAGTTGCATCAATATTTATTGAATCCCATTAATCTATTTTCTGGTGATAAAGTTGTTCTAATTTAATACTTATTTCGGAAACGCATTTATTTCCATAATTTTTTCTTTCTTTTTATTGAAAAGGACACACTTAGAAACAATGATTAGCAAAATATTATTCTTGTCTCTTTAAGAAAGCATAATCCAATTTACATTGGTTTCAGAATATCTTTTTTTTTAAAAAAAAATGCGCCATGCATGATGTGTAACTATACTGCGGAATTACTTTTGTATATATATATTTTTTACATATATTTATATATTTTATATTTTTTATACATTATATATATATATTATCATTTGTGAATTAATATTAACTTTACGTTACGCTTAAATCAACGCGGCGTAAATGGAAATAAAATATGTACATTTTTTTTTCTAAATAAACGTTTGTGGGATTTTCTTTTATAAAAAAAACGCGACAAATAAATGGAATTGATATTAGTAATCATATTGACATATACGTCATAACATATTTCATAATTTAATTATAAAGAAATAATAGCATATATTCTTAGCATTCTAATGTAAAATTTTTTATTGATATAAGCCACAAATAATGGTTTGAAACCTTTTTAAAATTTACGTAAATTTTTAAAGGTAATTTGTTTCTTGCTATAATCTTGTGTCACTTCCATTAATAATTTTTGTTTATATTTTGTATCCAAATTAAATGATATCTTTTAATGTACCTCTTTTTAAGAGCAAATTGCATAAAAACTCGTATGAAACTTGTTTCTAATATTAAATTTTTTTATACTGAATTTACCTAATTAATTGAGATGCATATAATTTATTTTTTTGATGAATAAATCCAAAATAATCAGCATTTCTAAATTTCTATAATTTATTGTATAATTTTTTATAACTATAAACCGTTCTAGTTTTCATGATCCATTTTTAACAATGAATACCATGTTAATAATGTCTTTCATCTCTGCAAATTTTTAGTGCACAAAAATAAAAATAGTTACCGAATGGGTTTGCAACAAAGAAATCTTTTGAAGACTGATTCATCGCGCCATTTAACATTCTTGGCTGAATTTGTTAGTTTGAATGAGCACTCAAATTCCTATTAAACAATAGGTCTAACCTTTTTTTTCGAATTGTGACAATCTGAACATTAAAATAATCCTAATTTTGGAAAGATTGTTGTTCTGTTTTTAGAAAATCCATCGGAATGTGTAAAAAAATCATTGCCCAGTGTTTTAGTGATTCGTGAAGGCAGATATTTTCAATATGTACCACACACAAAGCTCGTTAAAACAGTACAGTGTTACTACTCAATACACATTTACTGATAAACCACCACCGTAACGACTTTTTGATAATTATGGTGTAAGATGATGTCAATTTTTCTATTAGCACGTGATACGTACGAACCATAAACACCATAAGAAAGATCAAAATGTTTTAAAATGTGGATAATTTTTGTCTAACGAAAGCATTTACAGAATACACATTATCAATTATTAATATTTATGGGACACTATGTCAGAAATAGTTAGAAATAGCAGATAGAGGTCATTTTTATTTATTAAAGAAATTTCTGCTCCAAAGAAGAAACATGAATAAAGACATGAAGAGGTGCTGTACCAATTCATTTTGATAATATGAACAACTATTTAAAAAATTTAATCCAAACAGAAAAAAATAATAATGAACCAAGATATATAACAATCCTTTTTGGAGGATAAAAAATGTACAAAAAAAGTATATATATATATATGTGTAGAAAATTCTAACAATAATACAAAGAAAAAAAGTTAACCAATATACCATGCATGAAAAAAAAAGAAATAAAAAAAATCATACTGCAATAATAATAAATATCTATATCTCTCTCCAAAATATACTGTAAACATACTGTATAGGTCTAAAAATATGTGCACATTTGTACAAAAGAAAAAAAAATATATATATATATATTAACAATTCTTGGTCTCTCTATATATAAAAGCTTGATTAAATGCTATATGTAAAAATGAGATATTGGGTTATATTTAAAATGTGAAATAATGATAGTGAAATAATGATCTAAAGTTAATTTAAAATGATTTATAAATAATTTAATTGTTCGATTTCATATATTTTTATTATTTTATTTTGGGTGGAATGATACCAGATTTATTTTTTTTTGCTTGGGGAGGAATATTCAGATACGTAGATAAGATATATAACAAATTTTTTATCTACATTTATTTTTTAGTAATTTTTTGTGAGGGACCGGTGCCTTTAGCATGACCACTAAAACCATTTCGTTTCGTCGTTCCTTTTCTTACAGTGGCGGTTAGAGTGGTTAAACTTTCCGTTGTTCCAATAGTAGCACTTGTAACAGCGGTACCAGAGGATAATTTGGCACCACGACCAAGTCTTTTTAATATTTTTCCTTCAACTAATTTACCCTTAAGTTTATCTACCAATTCTTTTAATTCAGCATTCTCGGCTTTCAATTCTTCAAGTTGTCTGGTTATAATATTGTTTTCAGAATTTAATTCGGAGATTTGCGTACTCATTTCCTGATTTTGTTTATGTTTCTTTGCTCGATATTTGGCGGATGCAACTTTATTCCTTTCTCGACGTTCGGAAAGTGATAGTGGCATGATCATATTAGTTGTTGGTATGGTGTTCATATAGGTATTTTTATTATCTTCTTGAGCTGAAGAAGGATTTTGTGAAGTGGTATTAGTAGTAGTGGTGGTATTAGGTGTCGTTGGAGAGTATTGATGATGATGTAAAGGTTGAACCGATGGAACTGATGACATTGAAATGGTAGGTCCTGGGGTAGGTGAAGTTAAAGGTGTGGGTAATGTTAATTTGAAAGAATCAATTTCCATTCCTGGTTGTTGTTGAGCAGGAGGAATACGTAAAAGTTGTGTTTGTTGTTGTGATGGTAGAGGAAGAGGAAGTGTTGGTGGGGATTGCGAATATCTAGTAAGATGATGAGGACTTGTTGCTTGATGATTATAATGCTGCATAATAGTTGAATTTGGTGGTTCAGTTGGGGAAGGAGTTGAGGTTCTTGTTGTTGAATATGGGCTTTCTGATGATCGAACTGATGGTTCAGCCAGTAATTCTTGTACAGTAAGTCTTCGCCCGGGACTAACTACACTTTCGTCATATGTTGTTCTTCTACTATTGTTATTACTGTTATATGAAGAACAATCATATTCAGTATAACCGTGATGTCCAGCAGCAACGGTCATAGATGAAGTAGTTGGATTTGTAGAAGACATTTTGAACTAAATTTTTATAAAGATGGAAAAATATTTATTGTTTGTTCATGCGTGTTGAAAAAAAAAAATTTTTTTTTGAAGTGTGAAAAATTTTATAGGAGTATTTATAGAATTTTTGTTATTGATAAGGTTTAAATAAATAATTTAATTTTATGTTAAACAATCAAGTATATTGTATAAACAATGGAGAAAATTTTCTGTAATTTTTTTTTTTTATTTAAATGGAGAGAAGAAAAACTGAATGACCAAGAAAAAAGATTTCGCTCCTTTTTATAACTTATTCACTTGCAAATAATTCTTTTTGTACAATTTTGCGAATTTTCCTAATTCTTTTTAAAAAAATTATCTAAAGAAGATTTATTTTTATTGTAAATTAAATAAAAATAAATTGTTGCACATCCAAACTGCACTTATTTTTGAACGTTCTTTTTTTGGCAAACAAAAGACTAAGTATATATTCGTGATATGTGGATATGTGATAAAATTAAATTTAAATATTCGGATTTTATGTACATTAAATATTTTTTTTTGCTGCAAGATTTATGAATCATAAATCACAGTTGTGATAATTGTTTTTGATTGTTAAAATGTATTGTCTTCTTTCCAAATATTTATTATTTATACACTTTGGCCAATTAAAAAATGAATTAAAAATTGTTTTTGAGAGATTTATGGCTCGTTTCAGTGTGGCTTATAACAATGTGGCCCGAGAATATGGTCACAAATTATCGTATAATGGAGAAATGGCGTCAAACAATAATTATTGCAGATAAGGAATAAAATTATGATATTGATATATTCATTATATTCGTTATATTCGTTATCATGATGCTAAAATAATTTTTGATTAAATTAATTCTAGCATGTTCTTTTTAGTTAAATGTAAAACATAATAAATAACTAAATTGAGTATTATAATGACATCACCATTAGATTACTAGGTCTAAAGTTGTTGAAACATCCAAGGGTTATCTTACACTATTTGGTGTTACTTTCTGTCGATTATAGAATTTTTTTTGATATTACAATGCACGCAGGATGAAAATCTGTTTTAAGCGTTGTTTTTTTGATTATTTTTCATGAGTAAGATAAAGATGAAGAATTAAAAATTAAATGAATGAAGGAATTTTTTCGTGTAAATGGCAAACTTTTTTCTTTAATAATTATCGGAAACTAAAATATTAAAGAAAATTCAAATCTTTAGACGACAGCGATGAATGTTACGCTTTGATGGCCCCTGATATTCTGAAACAATTATTTCTTTGTAAGAATTTTATGTGGAAATATTTATTATGTTTTCTTTGTATGCACTATCCGGAGATTTATTCTAGTGTTTAAATAAAATTTTATTATAATTATTAATATCTAAATATGTTTATCTTATGAAAGAAAGTACGCGAGAAAAGCTAAAGCTAATTAAATAAATTTCATTATTCTTTTAATTCATTATTATTTACGCCTACTAAAGGATTTGGTTAAGAATGCTTACCCTTTGGGGATCTCTAGGAAGTAAATAAAAATGACTGTATTTACGAGAATTGTATTCATTGTTTAAATTATCTTTATTGAATTCCCTTTAGATCTTTTTTAAAATTACAATCTTCATCAGATTTCACATTATTCATAAATATAATTCTATCCATTTCGGTAAAAAGATAAAATAATGTATATACATATATATATTTATATTGGCGTAATTTAACTAATTCAACAATTCTTTGTAAAGAATACTGAAACACTTTAGGCATATAATCATAATTAAATGCATCATATCTTTCCTATAGTTGTACCACGTTTTTTTTATTATTTTTTAACAATGCTCGCGAGGCTTAAAGTTTGCGCGTGGTTACGGAGCAATGGAATGAAGTTCCGGAAATTATTCTATAAACAGTGGCGGTCTTTTGAAAGGGTTATAGTTAATGGATAATATGGATAATATGCATACATGATCGACACGTGTAATTTTTCTATTCAAAACCTTATTCAAAAAAATGTGACAATGATGACAATGATTATATATTAGTTATTCTTAGTAATATTTCTAGTGCAAATTAATGTAAATATTTTGTTGATTTTTTTCGTTGTTAAAAATTGAAAAAAAAAATTTTATTCGATCATTGCTTTATTGAGTAAAAAAATGCATAATCTATTAAATAAATCGAGAATAATAAATATCAAATAATGGATTTTCGAAAGAATGTAATTTTTCAAGCCAATTGTGATAATTAAAACAATTAAAACAATTTAATCTATATAACTATGAATTTTTGAATTTCGAATAATTAGCTGTTGATTTCATCACTTTATACTTATTACTCAGAAAAACGTTCCTTGGTTATCACAAGGGAAATTCACTAATACTAATTTACTCCTCAAACAAAATTCATGCCCCTACAGTTACAATAATCGTTTCTCTGGTGAATTTAAAAACTTTCGCTTCACCAAATAATCATAATCAATTAACAATTTTTTTTTTTTTTTGATAAATGCTTCTTTTGGTATAGTTACTAAATATAATTATTTACTATAATAAGGCAAAAGAAATTTCTTTGTCAAATTTTATAAAATTCTTCAAAAAAAAATTATTTATGTTATTATAATAATGTATACACAGATTATAGAAAGATAACAGCATATTGATGACTAATTGTTCGGGTAATTTCGCCGAAGAAAGAAAAAAATATATAGAAAAAAAAACATAAACCCAATCTAACACATTAACACACATTTAACGTTAACAAATACTCTCTATATCTAATTAAGATATAAAATATACAATAAAATAATATGAATTAAATGAATAACTAAGGGAGCGTTTCAGGTTGATAACTTATTAGGTAAATGTTATTATCATTATGCATAACATTTATCACGTATAGGAAAATTTTCATATGTAAAAATTTAGTTATTTATTATTAGTACCGAGAAATTAAAATTAAACTGCATAAATGTTATACATGTTATAAACCTTATGTCTATAAACCAATCATTTCAACACGGCACTTATTATATACTAATTTTTGAACTAGAAAACAAGTAAAACGCGAGAAAAGGTTTGTTAATAAATTAGAAATTAATTATAGTAATTATTTAATTATAGTTTAATTATAATTAATTTTAGTAATTACTTAGGGATTTCCGATGCATAAAATGATTACCAGATCTCAAAAGATCCTTCCTCGAATTTTCGAATTTTGTAAAAGGTAATCATGTTACGTGGAAATTATAATAATATGTATATTATTTGTTTAACCCATCTATCGTCATCGTAATTACTAATTCTCTCTATTGATTATTAATTCTTTTATTTACAATTTATTAATAGCTGTTTTTTTTTGGTTCAAATACTTAAATAAATTTTTTCTAGAAATATTATTATTGGTTGATGACTTAGGAAATACAGAATACCCTGCGTTGTTTCCAATCTAAATTATTATACCATTTTTATCAACTTTTCCTGTACAATTTATTTTTTTTTATAAGAATAAAAAAATAAAATGCACAAAATAAATTCAATCCTGCGGAAATATGTTAATGTTTTCCGCGAGTGATGAGAATATTTTAACAAATGCGCCTCTTATTATAAAAATCATTTGATACACAAAGAGGTGATAAATTAAAGGTAAACAATCAATAAAAATAATCACAAAATATCGAAAACGTATTTTAGAATATTCACATTCGTCTTCTCTAAATTAAAAGTAAATTAAAATTATTAAAAGTTAAATTAAAAACAAAATAAAAAGCAAAATGAAAGGGTGACGTCAAGAATGTTTCATATTGGGTTTCAAATCACACATTTATTAAAATTCTATTATTTAGACTTTTAGTTTTTACTAATTTAGATTGTTTCTTTAAATATCAATATTTATTTTTATAATGGCGTTTTCGACGCGTACAGTTATATTGCATGCGTGTGAAAGTACGAATATTTAGGAAACTTGGTGATATCTCTCGTTCTGATTGAGAATTGATTGTAGATTCGGCATGTCATTTATGAATTCACATTAATTCACGCGTATCGTCATTTAATAATCACGAGAACATAATAATTATAATAGTTAAAATAGTAATTATAATAATTATAATAGTTATAATAATTATAATAGTTATAATAGTTATAGTAGTTATAATATTTATGATATTCATGGAATGCCTGTTGCCTGAATATTTAATAATCTTTCGTTTTTCTTTGTTTTATGTAACACGGAGAAAGTGTCCAGCGATATTATAAAGAGTTATGCAATAATTATGCTCATGATTAAATAAAATTTATTCTCATGATTAAAATAAAATTTATTAATTATTTCATTTATTTTTTTCTAAGGGGAATTTTACCTAAAAAAGTCTACAATAATGCATATTTCCTGATTTTTTTTTCCTTAACTTCATAATGAGTCATACAAAGAATGACCACGTGATGATTTTGATCAACGCGACGCAGTTTCTGGTTTTTTAACTTTAGAACGTATCACAAATTTCTTATTTATCCAAAATAACTATTCGGCGCGCTGCGTCGTTATTCGTATGTATATGGTTATTTGAATAGAGCCAAATTTATCATAAATGTTATCAGTATAATCAGTATAATCAAATAATCAATAGTTAATAGTTAATCAACAATTAAATAATGTACAACAATTATTAAAACGTAAGAAATTCTTTTTAAACAAGCTATGCGATACAAAAAAATTTTCACTATTTAAATTAAGAAAAAAAAATTGAATTGATGTGTAAATAATCTTTATTTGAAAAACAAGAAATTCATAGTTAAAAATTATGAGATGCACATTTGAAAAAGAAGTTTTGAAAAATTCGTTATTTTCTTCCTTTCGGCAAAAAAAAATCGTAAAGAACGTAAGGTTATGATTTTCAAATTATTGGATATGGATTTAAAGAACTTTCTTGTGAATTTTTAATAATTAATAATTCTTTAATTATTCAATAATCATCTAACAAGTCATTGGCATTTGAAATCAAATCTACGTGCTTTCTGTTTC